TAGTCCACATGTTAATTCTGTGACCATAATGCTCTGACTGTGAAAACTGGTTTGAATATGGGGCTTCACCCTCCAGATTTGGCTCAGTTATCTGTGGTTGGGTCAACAGGTGTAGAAACATATGTAAAAGAACTGCCTTAAAACAGCTTTCAGCCTCATGAGCCATTCAGAACAATGTATATGATTCCTGTATGTGCAGAAAACCCTGTTGGAGCTGCTCTGTGGGGAAAGGAGGGAGCAGCTCAAGATGCACTGAAAATCTGATAACTGGATTAGGCACAAGAAAGCATTTCCTGAGGGGGAAGAATCCACATCTTCCCTACTGAGAAAGATTTCTAAACCAATCTCATTTATCATGCATTCATTTGTTGAGTAAATATTCATAATATATAAGTGCTGGTGTCACTTTAATATTCTGATTAGCATGGTACATCGTTTCCTCTGTCTGGATAATGGTGAAAGTCATGCTAATCGAAGTAATGTTGTGTGTCAAATGATACAGAGCTGATTTACTTAAGACTTGGATGTCTGCTCCAATTAACTTCCAAAGCAAATTGCACTGAAGTTCCTTTTTCTGTCTTTTATGAAATAGGATACATAAAAAGTATGAGTTACAGAGCAAGTCTGCCAAAGTTCTCTCGTATTACCTCCTGACACATCCACTGACCTTCAGCCAGTTCCAAAGCAGAGAGAAGCCTGCAAAACTCATAAGAGTTATCCCCTGCTCCTGCAATAAATTCATATCTATTTGCAAACACGAGCTCAGTGAGCTGCCTAGTTCACATCTCAGGCTTTTCTGGGCACTGCACAGCTGGTACAGCAGCAGCCCTTGGAGAGAGAAAGAAACTGTACGTGGAATAAAGGATGTGAGAGATATAAAGTCCATATGGCTCAGTGAAATCAGATCATTGTGTCTAAATTGCTTCTTTAACTGTTGCTGGATGTGTTTATAATCTACTTTTACAAGGCACACAATAAAGCACCACTCAGTTGGGTTACCATTGAAAGCCTGACCTTATTAACAGCCCCTGTATCTTGTCGTGTGCACTAACACATTACTGCAATATATTGTGCTGCTCCAATATTTTTGCACTTCAGAAGTGCTTTTGAAAAGTAGTTTACATGACAATCAAGGACGTAGTTCAGGCCAAGTGAATGGAATGAATAATGAAGTACAAGGAAACAGTAGCTGGGCACAGTGAAATCAGAATTATTTTGGCCACATCGGTTTCGAACGAATTGAAGTCAAACCAAATATTCAATGGTTGCAAAGATATTACTTGAGAATAAGGCAGGGGAAGCACGAAAGACTGGAATCCCAGTTAATCTGATTTCTGAACAGCAAATTACCAGTTCAGTTGCCAGCACACTGCTCGTATCTCAAATCCATAAAAATTAACTGTAGGAAACCTTATTCAGGCTCTGACTCAAAACACAGCCCAGGCTGTAACTCCACACTCAAACCTAAATCCACTCACACTCGAACCACACGAGCTCCAAAACACTGAGCACTTGTTCACAGTGCAGTGATTTTTCAGGTGAATTTAGATACAGGTTTCAGCACTTTGCTGAGTCAGCTCTTAGCAGCTCTCCTGGCCTTGCACAGTCTGTAGTGTCAGATCCCAGGGAAGGGTTTGTGCAGGATCTACAACGTCTGAGAGCAAAGAGGGGATGAGGGGGTGCAGGTCCCTGGATCCTGAGGGGCTCAGCTGAGAACCACCACCACCACTATGCCCAGAGCCCCTCCTGCTGCTGCCCAGCTGCTCCTCAGCGTTTAGTGCCACTTTAAATTCTCCTGGTGAACCAGAAGCACCTGAGAAGGAACAAGTAAATATTTAATCTACTGTCTGAGTTTTAACAGGTAGTTCTGGGGAGAGCTATTGAATTTTTATTGGGAGAGATGATTTGTGCTTGGAATATTAGAACACGGTGCTCACTCAGGGATGTTCAGAGCAGCAAACTCTCCCTAGAAATACTTGAATTACCAACATTTCAGCTGGGTTTTTAATGACTCTTCCTAAAGTGAGGGGACTTTATCAGTATTCATGGAACGGGCCGGCGGGGGAAGCTGCGGTCGGATCAGTGCCTTTTCAAAGCCAGGACTGAAGCTGATTCGCACCGTTCAGTCACCAATAGCAATATCAAATACAGGCTAATCAATAGTGGCTGACGGCTCTGGAATAGCTCTGGTGATGCAGACGTGCACCAGGCCACGGGCTCTGTCGGAGCATCGGCCACGCAGGACCCGCGATCCCATCCGCTCAGCTCCAGCCACAGTGCCCGGGGAGGGCAGTGGAGAATAGAATCGAGCCTGAACTTCCTTATTTTTAATTAAGTCAGTTCCTCGGGTTACCTTAATTGAGCAATTTGTATTTAATTTCCTGTTCGGGGGGGAGGAAGGATCGGGAGGAACAGATGTTGCCCCCTGCAGTCTGTAGAACACAGAGAGCCGTGAAAACTCATCCGTCCACCTGATTGCTTTTTTATTAAGTGGCACAGATGCTGGGAAGGTGGCAAGAACTGAGGTATGTCAAAACATTAACTTCTGCTTTGGAGGTTTTTTTCCCCCACCATTCTGCTTTGAATTAGCTACTAAAAAATAAGATGGAAAATAAGGTAGTAAACCTGCTTTCTCTCTTCCAACCTTTGAATACACAACAAACATCTGGTTTTGTCTTTTTTTTTTTTTTTTTTTCTGAGAGAGGAGTGCAACTAGGGACTTTTTGCAATAACACACTGATTTTTCTAAAGGATGTTTGGGCAAAGGCTTATTTATGTACTTCATTGGTTTTTCTGTTTCTTGTAGAAGTTCAAAGTCATAACAGCTAAAAAAGGTGCAGGACTGATTTAATACAGGCTGACATAAATGCAAGTTTTGGCCACGCTATTCGAACACTTGTCAAATGATGTAGCATTGTGATGTATCCTCTGTGCAGCTCGGGAGGGGTTGCAAATGCACAGATTGCCTTGGGTTGCAAAGCAGAAAGAACAGGCTCGATTTTGCACAAAATGGGGCAGGGAGGGAGGAAGGAGAAGGGAAATTCTTCAGATCTCTGAAGAATTTTTTCAGAATTGTCCAACACATTAATAGATTCAAAACATGTAAAATTCTGTAGCAGCAGGTATGGAGGTTACCTGGGGAATGGCCTCTCCTGAACATGAAAATATATTGATCCATCTCCAGAGTTCTCAGGTTGTGGTCAAATTGCAAGTCCAGTCACTGTGAAAGGAGGGGAGCTGAGATCCTGAAGGCTGAGTCTAAAGGGAACACTGAGGGCTGATCCTGAAGCAAAGCCTCAGCCATCATTTTGGTGTGGCTAAAATCAAATTAGGTAGACCCACAGGATCACACAATTATGGAATCATTTAGGTTGGAAAAGACCTTTAAGATCATCAAGTCCAACCATTAAGAACTCTTGACTGAACCATTTACACTGAGAAATAATCTGACTATTTCTGCTGCACTTTTCCAGCAGGAGGACATGTCAACCCTACACCTTGTCTGTGTAAAGATCTTTTTATCTGCTTGGATTTAACCAGTCTGAGAGCAGAGTGAGCTACACTTACCCCCAGCTCCAGGGGCTCAGGGATGCTCAGAGCCAGAGGTTTGCAGTGGATTTGTTGGTGGGAGAGAGGAGAACACATTGGAGGAGCAGACTGCAGGCATTAATGGGAAGGAGAAAAGTCATAACCTTGCCCCAGGAAAGTGTGCAAGCACCGTATTTTTAGGGAAGAGATCACTCTGCTGGAAGAAATGACGTTGTTTTCTTCAATAAAAAAATGTATTTCAAATTACTAAAATATGTGAACCATTCTCTTATATCCCACTAGCTCCAAACCATAAAAATTTACAGCTGAAGCCAACTCTGCGTGGAGCTGAGGCTGGTAAAGGAGACTAGACCATGACTTGTTATGTAAATAAGCCCATAAAAGTCTTGAGATTTTACGTGAAAATCAGACCTGCAGCAGCCATTCTGCCTTAGCTCTGTGGATTGTTTAATTTGTATGTACACGATTATGCAGTGTTATTATACAGAGAAGGCAGTTTACAAACCTTTAAGTGATCAATCAGTTAAATAAATAAAGCCTCTCTGGTGATGCCGTTTTAGGAAGCGCCTCGGCCTCCTGTCATTAACATAATCAGCTTGAATAATGTTTTCCCAGCAATTACCACCGGCGGGTCAATGTCTGCTATTAGCAACCTTTCCTCCATGGATCGCGAGCACAATAAAGTGTGACAGCCCCAGAAGACACCGGGTGCCAAAAGACTTTCTCTGGCATCAGTGCCAGTCTCCTTTAATGTGACACACACAGGGACAGTAGATTGTCAAGGATCACTCAATGCAACAACAATTTACTGTCTCAGTGGGAGTTTTCTTGTTTCGAGAAGTTCAGCGAGTGTTATAAATCTGTAAATTACATCAGATGTAAGAGGAAAGTACACATATACCAAAGGGGTTTGTAACAAATGAAAGTTGTACCTGCTCAGAAAACTGCTTTTTCAACCTGGATTTCCTTTCCCTGTGTCGTTACCTCTTGGAAGTAGTTGACATAAGGTCAAGCTGGCACCAACATTCAGGCTTTAAAGCATTTTGTTGCAGAAGAAATGCAGTAGAATGTTTTAGGAAAAGCAGTATTTGGCCACTAAACTTAATTAAAAGCAAGGTGATTTAAGCCCAACACCACAGGGTTACCTGGAGGGTTGTGGAGGTTAATTGCAATTGTTACTGTATTACTTTCCAAACTCAGATTTTTCATTCCTTGTATGCAACGAACCCTGCAAAATCAGGTTACAAAGCTCTACATATAACACAGGAATTTTGTTAATTCTAATGTAAGAAAGTAATCTACAGACACTCAACCTTTGCACAGCTGGAAAACAACCACGTCAAAATACATGTACAGACAAATCTGTCCACAGAAGCTAAAAACAAAAGCCAAACAAAACCTCCTTATTTTAACAGGTATAGGTTGCCCTTACCTCCAGCCTGGAGATTTTGATCCTCACCTGGGTGCTTTGGAATAATTTCCTCACTTCTTTTCACCACCAGCCCTTGCAGAGTGAAGCCATCACCTTCTCCAGTTGGGAAAGGGATCTGGGGCCTTCTACAGGTGAAAGGACAGCAAGAGTCAGCTCAGCCTTCACCTGGACACCTTGGTGAGCAATAAGGGCAGATTTCCTGAAATAAGTAATTTTACTGAATAACAGTAAATGACAAATGACAAAAAACCTCACCAAAACAAACACCCAAACAAGCTCCTACAAGCACATGGGTGATATCCAAAGTCTTGATTTGAAAATATACTTTTGCCTTATTTTTAAAATTCCTTTCTCCTGCCATTTTGAAGTAACAACCATGCAAGTCTCATGTTTGGTGTTGTAACATACAGTAAATGATTGTATTTAGTCTGCAGAATTTAACATGATTTATGGTCTCAGAAATTTGAAAAGCAAACCCCACCTCTGTCTTCTCTCCCTGGAAGCATTTCAGCTATTCCCACTTTCAATTATTTTCAACTCCACCGGTGTTGATCAGCATATTTGAAATTCAATCAGCCTTCTCGTTCAAAACATTTCATGTGTGTGTCACACTAACAGTCAACAAGAGTCCCGAATTCAACATCTGTTCCTAATAGTAAAGGGGTTTAATTTGAGAAATGAAAAATATATAACGTAATTACCAGGCATTCAATCAGAATGAATAATGTGTTTGCTACCAGCATTCTGTCCTGTCAGCAAAAACCCCGGAGAGGCAGAGCAGCAGCAAAGTGGAATTTCTAGAAACTGGGGGGGAAAAAACCATCAAAATACTGAAATGAGAGAGAGATGATGCTGTGCCTTCCCCGTGGATCCCCCCTGGGAGCACAGGGGTCACTGCTGGGGGTACACACCACCCAGCTGTGGGATCAGTGATGCTCTGCTGGGGTTTGCCTCTCATCACACCATCCCTCTGCCCTGCTTGCCTTCTGCAAACAGGTGGGATGTGTTGCCACAGAGGCAGGCTGGGTCCTGTGGAGGATGCTGTGTGTCCCCCTCATGTTCTAAAAACCACTAATAGATACCTGTTATACAAACTTTTAAAAAATTTTTTTAGCCTGGTTAACCAATCCTGTCACTCAGGTTGGATATTAGGAAAAATTTCTTCACTGAAAGAGTGGTTGAGCATTGGAACAGGATGCTCAGGGAAGTGAAGGCACCATCACTGGAACTGTTAAAAATGAGAGGATGTGGCACCTCATGAGATGTTTTACTGGGCATGGAGGTGTTCAGTCAGAGGTTGGACTCTGTGATTCAGAACATCATTCTTTCAAATATCTGGTGTAACCTTACCAGGTTTTGGTATTTAGGGAATAAACATTCCCTTGCCAGGGGGAGCAGCTGTCTCTGGGCAGAGGTTGGAGTTATTTATCCAGCACATGGAGCTCTTTGCACCCACAGGATGTGACATCCCAGAAGCACCTGGACCTTCCTGTGAGCATCTGCTGAGGGTAAACAACCACCAATGCAGAGGTGGTGACGTTGTCCTAGTACTCCTTGGACCTATATTTTAGCACATTTTCAGGCACAGGAAAACAAACAGAAAAAAACGGTAATTATGTTGAAATATGGTCATGTAGAAAACACAGATTCCCTCCTTTTTGCCTCAGAAGTGAGAAAAGTACTTCACTTCTCGTATTTTTGGGCAATGCTCCACTTGATTCATAATTTAGATGTACGATTTTGTATCTCAAATCTGCTCAGTCAGATGCACAACACAATTTTAATTATTTCAAAATTATTTAAATGGAATAATAAATCTAATGTTTGATGTAACGTGGCTGCCTGACCCAAAGAAATATGTGGGTAATTATCATGTTTCCCAAGTGGATTGTTTTGTTCCCCAAATCAGTCACTAATTAGTGGCTACACTCACAATGATCACTCGGAGTAATTGTGATGTTTTGCTGCATTGTTTTGGACAAGAACAAAATAATCCTCTTAATGAAAATAAATTTATAGATTTTACTCTGAGCCCAAAATGCAAATGTATTTGATCTGATGGTTATGAGCACAATAAACAGAAGTGACTTTTAAAAAAATACAAGGGTTAGGAACTTGTAATACTTATTTTCTAAAAAAGAAAACTTGGTATGAACCCTGGGCACGAGCAGTTTGGGAGACTGGAGAGACCACCACACTCTATTCCCAGTGGAAAACCAAAGGAACTCAGCCTGGGCTGCCCCACAGTGCAGAGAGGTATACTGGGAATTAATGTTATCTTTGAGAGTATCTACAATCTCATTATTGTTGCAGAACCCCTGACAAGGTCATGGCAAAGGGAGGTAAATTCAATCAGTCTAGTGAGGGAAGGGTCTAGCCATGGATGAGGAGTTTAGGTTAGAAGAGGAAAGATCAGTGTCCCTCAGGGATGCTTTTAAAACTTTTCTGTGTAATAATTCCTGTGTGATACAACGCCATCCCAAACCCCATTTTCTCAGAGCAGCCCAGCCTTCTAACATCCAACTTCAGGTACCAAAGTCCCCTTTAAAGGCCAACGACCCAAATTAATAATAACCAGCAGTAATACTGTTGATTTATCATCTCTGGAGCTATATTTTTCACAGGTGTCTAGTTAAACTTGGAGTAATCTCCTCAATCAGGACATTTTTACTCTCAGTGCAGTTACTCAAGTGCGGGTTTCAGCTGCATTTAAAGCTGCTCTCAGGGCTCTAATCTCTGTTTTATCTTTAACTGCTCTGGGAAAATTAAATAAAAAAAAGGTTGCTGAGACATGAACAAAGATGAAGAGAGCCCAGAAGAAGGCATGAAACAAAAGCTCTGCCCTCAGTCCTGCTTCATTTCATAAATCCTTGATTATATGTGGAGAGGGCTACATAACCTCAAAAAAAATTCCTCAGACCTCTACAGTATTTTGAGTAAAAAGAAAAGTTCCTTCTCACTTGCCTTTTAGTCTGAATGTTGCTTTTTTCTAAGTGTATGTGTTTCTTTTAAAAAATACAGCTCTGCCTACACACTGTGGTATTTTTTTCATTCTTAAATTGCATTATATAAATATTTTGCCCAGAGAAGCTGTGGCTGCCCCATCCCTGGGAGTGTCCAAGGCCAGGTTGGATGGGGCTTGGAGCAACCTGGGCTGGTGGGAGGTGTCCCTGCCCATGGCAGGGGGTTGGAATGAGGTTTCATGGGAGGTTCTACATCTCTTTGCTATTCCACATCTCCTTTGAGCCCATTCAGGTAGCAGAGAGTTGTGCTGATCTTACTCTTATCAGCAGTTGCCAGGGCTTGGGAAGGTAACTTTGCATTAGCACAAAGTGAGTAATTCCAGCATTCCTTTGGAAGAGCTCTCAGCAATAGCTGCTGTATGAAATGATTCATTTCCCATTGCTGTCAGCAGTTCTTTTATTTACTGTGATTTTTCTGTCCTTTATCCCCAGCCCTAATTTTGACCTTGAACTCCCTGGTTACGTTCTATTCTTCCCATGGCCCTCAGAAGCTCCCGTTGCTCTGTGAGGCTGCGGTGTGGGTGCTGTGTGACAGCAGCTCTCACTCCCCAGCTGAGGGAGCAAAGGAGGGGTTGGAAATACGGACACACACAAAATCTTGGAATTACAGAATCTCCCGACTTGGAAGGGATCCACCAGGATCATCAAGTCCAACTCCTGGCCCTGCACAGAATATTCCCAAGAATCCCACCCTGTCCCTCAGAGTGCTGTCCAAATGTTTCTGGAGCTCTGGCAGCCTTGGTGCTGTGCCCACTGCCCTGGGGAGCCTGGTCAGTGCCCAACCACCCTCTGGGGGAAGAAACAGTTCCTAATGTCCAACCTGAACCTTCCCTGGCACAGCTCCAGCCATTCCCTTGGGTCCTATCACAGGACTGTCTGACAAACACAAACATCACACAGACAAAGTCTTTCCAATGGCAAATGCAAGCTGTGGACCTCAACAGCCTGGGCCAGTCCTGTCCCTCAGGGCACCCCCTCCCAGTTGGTGTAAGGGGCCCCTGCTCAGGAGGACACATCCAGCACACCCACATCTCCACCTCATCATCTAAATGAGTTTATCAAACACACTCACCTTCAGTTCCCACCTCGTTTGTGCTCCAGGATGGTGTCAGTGCTTTATGGTCACATCAGCACTTGCCCCTGCCTGCACACCCCACACATGGAAAAATGGAAACAAAGGGCAGAGACCACAACAGCTTTGGCTCCCCTTTCCCAGTGACATATTTTGATGGGAATGTCTGGTTGTTTAATTATTTCCTCGTTATATAGGGTGCAGCACCACTTGTGTGTGAGCTGCTTCAACTAATGTGATTTTGCCACGGAGAATGTGAGAGAAGGTGTCCTTAATGGGCCTGCCTTGAACAGCAATCAACACAGTGAACACACCCCACACGACCAGGACAAACAAATTGAATCATTCCTGCAGCTTTCATTTATCCACTTCCCATCCAGGTGCACAGAAAGCACATTTCATATTAAATCCCAACCACATAGTGGACATAAATTTACACAGAAGTATTAAATTGTTTCTATTTATAAAGTAATTCTGGATGAGATTATAGATTCCTGGCTTGGATTGACTGCAAATTCGCCATCCTGTGACTTGATTAAAATGCATTATGAAAGGAAGATGGCAGGAAGGCAGCCTGCAATTCCCAGGCAGGAAAAAAAGCATCCAGCCTGCACTGCTGAACGTCCTCTGAGCAGAGTCTCTGCCTTAGCACACAACTGCATCTCTGCTGCACGCTCAGATAAGCCCAGCTCCAGAACGTCACATTTTCCACTCCACATTTCCATTTAAAATTCCTGTTTCACATGCTATTCTGAGGCCAGTTACTCGCAATCTGGATCTTAATGCAAATATTTAAAGCTTAAGATAGAACCAGGAGTAGCAAGCTCCAGGACTGATGGAGCATTAGAAAGCCTTTTATCTTCCCAAGTTCCCGTTTCCCTTTGGATCCAGCGCAGTCATGGCACACGGGCCCATATCCGTGTCCTCATTAATGAAAATAAGGACAACAAGAACAAACAGCTGAAATAAATGTCACGTAAAAATGCCATTTTTAGTGCGTGAGAACATTCCCCAGGGCTGAGCCCTGGAG